TTGGTTGAAGCTGAAACCAAAAGGAGAGCAAAAGATCAACAAAACCAGGGTCCTTGAGATCTGCTGGATCAAACCTCATCTGAAGCTCACCCTGACTTGGACTTTTCATTGACAATAGGTCACAAATTTTCTTTAGTTTGTTAAAACCTGTTGGAGTTTCTGTTTCCACTGCTTGTAGCCCAAAGCTCCCTAACCGGTGGTAGTACCACCGCCATTGCAGGTGGCAAACGTCATCTTCTGAGCTGCTTCCAGGGCACCCGGGCCCCACCCCCGCAGGACCCCAAAGCCCTGTGGAATGATTTCAAATTCCCCTCCATTTGCAGGCAAGAGGCTCCAACTGGGCAAAAGAAAGCAAACGAGAGAAGCTGAGCCATGGAGGCCTCGGAAACAGCGGNGGCAAGAGGCTCCAACTGGGCAAAAGAAAGCAAACGAGAGAAGCTGAGCCATGGAGGCCTCAGAAACAGCGGGACCCCCTGCCCTGGCCTGCCCCGCCATCTAGTGGTTGAAAAAGGGTGGCGCAGCCTGGGCCAGGGTGACAGGGAGGCACAGGTGACTCTGCATCGGACCCTCTGCCTCCATCAGACCCCCCACCACAGAGGGACTCACAGCCTGGGTTCCTGGGCGGGGAAGGCTTGGGGCCCCACGTGGTGTCCGAATGTGAGGACTACCCGGGAGCCAGAAACTCAGCTGCCCGAGGCCAGCCTGCCTTGGGGAGCGCCAGGGCTATCTCTCCAGGCTTCAGAGGTACCCTGGGTTCTCAGGTCCTCAAAGCACCAGTAAAACAACCAGGTCTTCCCTGGAGGAGCCAGAAGAGCCCGAGCTAGGGGGGAGGAGATCTGAGTTTCCATTCCGAGCTGCTTGGACCAGTAATGTGAACTTTTGGCCTCAGTTTGCTTATCTGTAAAATGGATCAGCAATTTCTAACTCATAGGGTTGTTGCAACAATTAGATGAGTGAGGGGAGAGCATTCTTGGTCATGTTCATTGTCCTCCCGCGGCCTGTGGCAGGAGGCAGAGCGGGAACATGGGCTTCGCAACAGGCAGGCTGGCTTTCCTCCCGGCTCCTCCACTTACTAGCTGTTTGACTTTGGAAAAGTTGCATAATGTCTCCATTCCTCAACTGTGAAGTGAGACGAGTTATACGCATGAAGGCCTGCAATGGGAACTTAATGAGATAATAGCTGTAAAGTACATGCATAGCTCGCACAAAACCCCCTCCCCTCCATGGGCAGGAGGACCCAGAGCCCACTCAGCCTGTGAAGGGCTCTTCCGAGGCCTCCAGTTGTAGCCTTGCAGGTGCACAACCTGAGGGGGACATCTGCATTGAACAGGAGCAGTGACCAGTCTCTACAGATGGCCAGGGCCGCCCTGGGTCCCCCCCCCCCTTCTGGCTCAGTACCCTTTGGATTCAGTTCCTTGAGCCATGCGAGCAGAAAGAGTCTGGGATTAGAGGATTTCATCTACAAGCCATATGCAGACCGAGCGAACTCCTACACAGCAGCCTGGGCACAGCAGCATCCCAGAACCTTCCCGTGGAGGGGGCATGAGCACTGGGCCCGCGCAGATGCCAGCTGAGCATCTGAACCCAACAGAGCAGCCAGCAGCCACGTTTCAATGTCACGTGCAATTTATTCTACTTGTTCAAAGCCAGTTATCCACAATATTACACAGTGGAGTAGTAGGATCTTTACTGACTCTGAGACTATCCAATACATCAAAAAACTCAGTTTCCCCAAGTGTTTCTATTAGTGGTACTAATTATATTCAACAAAGTTAATCTCATCAATTGAAAACTAAAAATCATGTTACAATTCTAAGTTCATCAAAGAAAAACACTATACTTTTGGGTGTTAACCATCAAATAGAATTCAGTTTGTTTTAAAGTAAAAAGCATTATCTGTTAGCATGGTGTAACAGGGAAAATTCTAAACTAAACTATATATGTTCCAGACCCATTTCCTCATTAAGTCATTCTGTGACCTCAAGTAAATAACTCACCTATCTCTTCTCTGGCTTCCCAATGTGTAATGGTTGAATGGTGCCTCCCCTGTGGTAGGGTTATATTTTAAATGGCTGAGAAGATGTTTGGAAAAATATAAAATAGTGATATATATTATTTTATTTCTACTCATTATAAAGATTTTCATGTGAATAGAGTGCTTTTTAAGTCACCACTGTGTGAATAAAAATAATATCCTGGTAATGCAAGAGGAAAGTTAAGAGCATGTATGTCTACTGAACAATATATTTATTACTGACCTATTGTTAAAAGAACTTCAAGTGCACTGTCAAATATCTTTGAAAATTGGGAATATTATGTTTTACAAAGAGTGCCAAATGGCTGGTTAGATGGCTGGCTGGCTGGCTGGATAAATGGATGGATGAATGAAACAAAAGATGGATGGATAAGTGAATGGAAAGATGGAAGGAAGGAAGGAAGGAAGGAAGGAAGGAAGGAAGGAAGGAAGGAAGGAAGGAAGGAAGGAAGGAAGGAAGGATGGATGATGGATGAATGAATGGAAAGATGGATGGATGATGGATGGATGGTTTGGATGGATGGATGATGGATGGATGGATGGATGGATAGATGGGTGGGTGGATATGGATGGATGAGTGAATGAAAAGATGGATGGATGATGGATCGATAAGTGAATGGAAAGATGGATGGATGATGGATGAATAAGTGAGTGGAACCATGGATGGATGAATGGATCGATAAGTGAATGGAAAGACGGATAGATGGATGGATGAATGGATGAATGTTTGGATGGATGAGTGAATGAAAAGATGGATGGATGAGTGAATGAAAAGATGGATGGATCAATAAGTGAATAGAAAGATGGATGGATGGATGGATGGATGGATGGATGGATGGATGGATGGATGGATGATGGATGGATGGATGATGGATGGATGGATGGATGGATGGATGGATGATGGATGGATGGATGGATGGATGGATGGATGGATGGATGGATGGATGATGGATGGATGATGGATGGATGGATGGATGAGTGTCAATGGTGAGCAAAACCAGGAAGGACCAAATTGGATGATGAAGGGTCCAGGGTCTCCGGGGTTGTGGAGGTGATTGGGTGATGGCAGAGCTGTATCCATGCTTGAAGATCCCTGTGTCTGGAGCTCCAGGCATCCCCAACTCCCTGCCCTCTTCTCCCACAGCTCCTCTCACCGCCTGCTTGTCTGGAACCTACACAGCCAGCGGGCCACCTGGGGCAGGCAGAGGTTATGATTTCATCACCTCTGGGACTCATCCGATGCGGGACAGTAGGCGCCATCAATGCTTGAAGAATTAAGAACAAGCTTGACTCGCGGCTACCTGCACAGGAAAGGAGGTGGCCTGGTCAGTGTGCATGCTGAAAGGAGAGGTTCGTACAGAAAACCCTGGAGTAGGGGTAGTGGAGGGTTACCAGCAGCCCCGAGGACACGGCTTCTATGCTGGCTGGACAGTGAGGGACTGTCCTCAAATAAAAGGGCAGCAACTCTCAGGCGGCACAGAGGCACCGGAACCGAGGTGCCCGTGGCCTGGCCTCTGGCGAGTGAAGCTCACCCGTGTCAGCGGCAGGTGTGCCTGGTCACACACAGGAGCCGGACAGCCACATCCTCGGGGACTTTGTGTCCTTGTGCTATCTGTGGAGAACCCTCGCAGGCACGGGGCTCCTGTGCCGAGTGCCAGCCTGGTGTGTGGAGGCTGGTTGTTTGTTGAATGCCTTTCAAAGAGCAGATGTTTGCAGGAAGCTGAGAACTAGCTCTGGATGGTTTTCACTGCAGAATACCGAAGCCGCAGGACAGCATGAAAGGAGAGAGGCCGCTGTTCCCTCTGGTGTTTAAATTTCAAGGACAGGGAGCACCCAGCTCGGCCTGACACCCACACACAGGTTTCCTCGGACATTTAGGACAGCCGTAGGCCCCGTTGCTGGATTCACGTTTTACGTATTAAGTGAAATCCACTGGAATCCTTTGGCAGCCTCTCCAGGGAGGCGACTGGCCTCCCTGCAGGCCCAGGGCCAGCTCCTCACGGCTCCCCCATCTCCGATGGAGGCGAAGTGAGCCCGTGGGGAAGCGAGCTGTGACCCGCCCCTGCCGTGGGACCTTGGTGGGGGTCACTGAGCTCTCTGCGACCAGTTTCCTCACCTCGAGGGTGGGGCCCGTGTCTGTCACTCTTTGCTGAGTTGTTCTGAAGATGTCACCTCAAGAGCATAGGAGCCCAGCACAGGGAAGGTGGCCGTGCTGGGGAAGCTGCTGGCCCCAGTGAGGAAACAGGGAACGTGGCCAGTCGGGGTGGGGCGACAGCACCCCACGGGGGACAGGATGAAACAGGGTCTTCACCACCCAAACCCTGTTGGGCCCAAACCAGAGACTAAAGCGCCACCCTGAGGCAGGTCATTTTTTACGACTCGAGGGTCAAGGGGAACTGAGATTTGCTGTTGTCCATGACCTTCTTGGGACCCCCGGGGTGGCCGAGGACCCCAGCTAGCAGCAGGCTTCAGGGGTCCCTGGAAAGCTCTTTCCTCCTGACCCGACCGCCGCTCCATTCGCTGTTGGACGCCTGGTAACCCACCTTGCGAACTGGGGATACCTTAGGCAATTGCTCCCAAACCCCTTCGTTGTGTTTTTCATGGAGGCTTCATTACACGGGCTTGTTTGATTAAATCACCGGCCATTGGTGATTGATTGACTCAACTTCCAATCTCTCCTCCCCTCCCCAGAGATCAAGGGGTGCGACTGAAATTTCCAGCCCTCCAATCACACGGTTGGTTCTCCCGGCAACCAGCCTCACCCTTGGGTGTTTTCCAAAAGCCTTCCCATAACGTAATAGAAGACACCCCTCCTGCTCCCGTCACTGAGGAAAGCCAAGGGTTTTAGCTCTAAAGCCAGAAATCTACCCTTTGCCAAGGCCACCGGGACGCACTCCGCAGCCCCCGTCGGCAGCAGAGGCAGGACATGGGCGCCGCTGCTCACCTGCCCCTGGGCAGCCGGGGCCTAGCCGCGGAACGCCTGGTAGCCGAAGCTGTCCGGCTGGGCCTTGAAGTCGTACTTTCTGGTCGTTCTCTGGTAGCGCACAGTGAGAAGGGCAGCCGCCCCGGCCACCACGGCAAGGACAGCCACCGCGATGAGGGCGATGTAGCCGGGTCCCAGGCCTGGCTTCACATCTGGAGACTCACCTGCAGGGGACGAGACAGGCACAGGTGGGCGGTCTGCCCAAAGCAGGAGGAAAGCATCTCCGTGGGCTGGGACCCACGTGGCCCAGCATTGGGACGTTGTGAGAGTAGAATGGGGGGGCTCGGGACTGAGCCTGGATAGAGAGAGCTCCCCACACGTGGGGGCTGCTTGGTAGCATTATCATCGGCATGTGATTCATCCGAAGGGCCATGCTAGGGGGTGTGTGCCCTGTACCTGTGGGTTCCCAAAGGTAGTAAGAAAGGTGTCCCAAGGCCAGGAGAGGACAGCAGCCAGGGCAGCTCAGCCTGCCATGTTCTGGATAAGCGCCGGCCCAGAGGAGGAGGCCGTGTGGGAGCCACAGGCCTTCCAGGAGGAGATGGACAGCTCAGTGGGGCTCCCTACATGGAGGCGCACGGGGCTCCCACACTACCGCTGGGAGAAGAGCAGGCTGCCCCTCCCAGGGTGGGGCAATAAAAACACACACAGAAGAGCTGTGGACCCAAAAGACTGGCAATAGGGATTCAAATAAATACTTTTAGACCCATGTCAAAGCAGCACTGTTCACAGTGGCCAAAGGCAGAAACAACCCAAGTGTCCATCAAAGGATGGACAGATAAAAATGAGGTACAGTGTGGCACACCCACGTTCTAGAGACAAAGCAGCGCTTGACATGTAGCAGAGAGATGAAATAATGCATAAGTGGGTGGGGGGTGGATGGATGGATGGATGGATGGATGGATGGATGGATGGATGAGCAGGTGAGTGGATAAATGGAAGGATAGTGGGTGGATGGTGGATGGATGGATGGATGGATGGATGGATGGATGGATGGATGGATGGATAGGTGGGTGGATGGATGGATAGGTGGATGGATGGATGGATGGATGGATGGATGGATGGATGGATGGATGGATGGATGGATAAGTGGGTGGATGGATGGATGGATTGAAGGATGAATGGATGAGTAGGTGAGTGGATGAGTGAAAGGATAGAAGGTGGATGAATGAATAAATGGATAGATGGATGGATAGATGGGTGGATGAGTGGATGGATAGAACCCAGGAGATTCAGTCATTTTTCCTAAGACCACATAGCTCATAAGTATGAGAACCTATATTCAAACTCAGGTCTCCTAATGCCAAGCCCACTGCTTTTTCCACATCATGTATAATATCTATGAATAGACAGAAGGCGTGCACCTGGAAATGGCAATGCAATTCGCACGTGTCCTATTTCACATCAGGGCCCCAGTTCCCCTCGGCAGTTTAAGAAAATGAGAAGGGTAGGAAAAGCACACTCTCCTAGGATGCAGGCCTACCCTTGCCCAAGGACCAGCGCAAACACCAGGGCCCCGCACCCAGCTCCAGAGCCTGCCTTGGGGGTGGGGGGGGGTGGCCGGGGACCTGAGAGTTTGTGTTTCCCGGATACTTCGGGTAAGAACCAGCAGCTGGGAATCCCTGGCCAAGAAGCCCCCCTGCCAGGCCCTGATCAGCACTCACACCCTGGCTCAGACCCGGCCTCTGAAACACAGACATCCTTGCCCTGGAAAATATCAAGAGGAAGGAGGGCCATCGAGGTGAGGAAGAAAAACTACAAAAACGAAAAATGTAGGTATAGCTGCAAAAAAGAGAGAAAACCAAAATAGCAATGAAGGACAATGTGGAAGTTTATTTCTTTCTTGCATAAAGTTGGTTAAGTCAGAGCCCAGGCCTGGCCTGGCAGCGTTGCTCCACCGTGTCCTCGGGGCCCGGCCCTTCCAGCACCTGTCACTATGGTCCTCACGGTCCAGGACGGCGGCTGGCGGCCACCATCTCACCTGCAGGCCGGGCAGCAGGAGGGAGTCAGGCTAAAGCGTGGGCAGGGGTGTTTCGAAGGAGGCGGCCCCTAGGAAGTCGCCACTGGACATCCCATCTGCATGCCTTGGCCAGCACTGACTCACACGGCCGTGCCTGGCTGCCGGGTTGGTTATATATTTTTAAAAATTATAGTTTTTATTCCTGGCTAAAAACTGGGGGTTCTATTACTATTGAAGGAGAGGAGAACAGATATTGGGGAACAGCTACCAGTTTTTGTCTTAATCCCCAAAGCACACGCTTTCCCAAAACCATTTTTAAAAAAAATAGGAGCCCAGCCGGACGTGGCTCAACGGTTGAGCATCGACCTAGGATCCAGGCGATTGGGGTTCGATTCCCGGTCAGGGCACATGCCTGGGTTGCGGGCTCGATCAATGACTCATCATTGATGTTTCTATCTCTCTCTCTCCCTCTCCTTTCCTCTCTCTGAAATCAATAAAGATATATTTAAAAAAAAAATAGGATAGATCACAAAGAAAAGAAAATGTCTTCCTAGAAAATTAATGGTGAGTTTCAAAAATACAGGGAATGTTGCTGGCTGATTGAAGTTTTATACCGAGGAAGAGCAGCAGTGCCATTTTCTGGTTTTGCATCTTCTGATTTAGTGAAGCCTAAAATACAACGGTTTCCCCACTCACATGCGCGCACACGCACACACACGCGTGGAACCTGACCTGCCCATAGCCCGAGTTCCTTCCTAGTAATAACCCCCTGGATGCATTTATCCAGGGTTGGGAAACTTCACTGCCTTCACGTTATCCAGCTCAAACATGCATTATTTAAATATGAGCCGACTTCCTGAGGCCTCGGTCTTTCCATCTGCAACATGGGGATGATTCTGGATCGGACCTCGCAGGGCTGCCGAGGAGGGGAAATTACACTCAGCACGTAAAGAATGTGACAGTGCTGGAGAGTCGGGGCCCCGTGAGCTCTGGCTGCCGTTGTTACTGCTGTTCTGAGTCTTTAGGGAAACCCTTAATAGCTCCGTGCTCCAAGGAGCTGCTTTTTGGTGTCCGTGCTGGGGAAATGGAACCGGCCACATCTTTTCTTTAGCTGTCTAAACCGAGTCTCCAACTCACCGTTAGACCGAATGAGGGGTCCCCAGGACATCTGGTGTGTTTCAGATGGTTCATCACTTCTCAGCGACCGAAAATCATTGCAATTCTGTGGGGTTTTGTAAAGGAGAGAAACGTCAAATGAGTTGAATAATGTTTATGAGAAATTGACTCTCTCTCAGGGATGGCACCTTGATTCTTAGATTTTTTTTTCCTGCTGGAGACAGGAAATCACAATGGATGAGCTCAGACAGGGAGAAGGAGGGCTGCAGGGGCCTCGGCCACTTGGACACTGGGACAGCTGTTTCTAGGTACCAGACTGGTCCCTTTGCCCCTCGGGTGGGGTGGGGGGTCTTCCTCAGCAAAGCTCACGGAGTCACCTTGGCATTTCCACAGCCTGCTGCAGCCACTTGCTCCGTTTAATGCCTTTGTCTTACAGGAAGGTTGAGTGACATCATGGCATCTGCGTCCATGCACCCGCTATGGGTTGCAGAGGTCCCCAAAAAGACGCTGAAGGCCTAACTCCCAGTATGGGTAATGTGACTTTATTTGGAAATAGGGTCTTTGCAGATGTCCAAGCTAAGATGAGCTCACTAGGCTGGGTCCTAATCCACTATGACCGTGTCCTTATACAAAGGGGAAATTTGAACACAGACACAGACATGCCTAGAGGGGAGACTTGTGAAGACCCAGGGAGAAGATGGGCATCTACAAGCCAAGGAGATCGACCGGGAACCGATCCTCCTTCTCAGCCTCAGAAGGAACCAGCCCTGCCGGCACCCTGGTCTTGGACTTCCAGCCTCCAGAGTGCGGGACAACCAGCTCCTATTGTTTAAGCCAACTCCTTCCTGCAGCAGCCACAGGAAACCCATACAATACCCATTCGAAAGGAACTGGAAAGAAATGTGTGGGAGCTCCTATTGTAAAGAATTTGGGGACTGGCACCTCCCTGCAGAGGTGAAGTGTTGCTGTAGCTATTAACACTTAGCGTTTCGAGGGGCCAGGGGGCCAGGCCCAGGCTCAGAGCTCCCTTAGCGGATGGTCACCAGGAGTCTGTGCTCCTTTCCTCCTGTTGTTCCAGGAAATCTACTTTTTGAGCAAAAGTGACATCAACAGAACCAACCGTCACTGGGTTTCTCTCATCCATGACCCCACTAATGCTCGGAGGCGGGTCACCCAGGAAAACCTCGGGAATTCATGAGAAGCCGAGGGACGAGCGTATCTCCCAAAGGACAGAGAGACACACGGTGGCCGGACTGACAGCCAGCAGAGCCCTCTGCACTGCCCTTGGCCACAGACAGCACGTGGCAGTCACTTCTCATACTTGTCGCTGGTATGAAAGAGAGCTTTCAAACCTCAGGACTGCAGAGCATATTTTGAATTCAAAGGTCAAAGGAAATGAGAATGTAAAATTATTCATCATCCCAGCATGAACGCCGCACGTCGGGAAAGAAAAAAAACCTGATTAAATATCACGGTGGCTAGGATTCAGCAGTGTTCTAGCCAAGTAACTAAAAATAATGGGAAATTAAAATAACACGTTTGCATCTAAATATGCGTTAAATCACCTCGAGGGGAAGTGCAACAGCATCACGACAAGGAAGGTCCAAGGTGATGGCCAGCAGGTGGCACGGCCTCAAGGATTTGGGACCGCCTGGCCTCATCGGTCCCCACCCAAGGGCCTCCCACTATTGAAATCTCATTTCTGCCTTCTAGGGGCCACATCTGTGGGGCCCAGCACCTCCTCCCAGAAGTCGGGCACCAGAGCCACCCACGCTCTGGGCTTCTGATGACACGGAGACCCCCCCATTACCAGAGGGAGCGGGGACCCAGACAGACGCTTAGGCCGCCCAACACCTACGATTTTGCACGTGGCCCCGGGGGTCTCCATGCAGATGCGGAGTCTGCAGTGCAGGTAGACTATGGAGTTGTTGATGAAGGAAAATATTTTCAGCTTAAACTGGGCCCTGTTGGAGTCCCCGTTCTCAATCACGTTGGTGTGTGTGTTGGGGATGGGGCAGCTGGGAGGAGAGAAAGGGAGACTCATTAAGCATAAACTGGCCCTCCCGTCCTTGTGCCCAGATGAGCATGTTACAACGCCCCTGGCCGCACACAGAGTGTCCCAACCGGGCTCCGTGGAAGCAAAGGACGGCTCAATCTCCAGTTCCCAAGAGGAAAGGGTCTCCTGTGGGTGTTACCTAAAACCCAGGTCCATACATGTGTGGGTCTGGAAATTCAGAGGGCCCAAAGGAGGACACCAGCAAGGGGGCAGTGGTGCCCAGGGCCCACCCGAACCCTCACCTGTTGTTGATGAAGCCGAACATGACCGGGTCCCTGGCATTGCTGGATGGCGTTGCCCAGCACTCGGTCAGGACCACCTTGAGGTTGCTCTTCTGTTTATAGAGCCCCACTTCGATCTTGATGTCGTCGCTGGCAGACACACTATAATTCTGAGGTATGGGAGAGTCTCCAATGAATAACTGCATTTCTGTGACAAAATTTCCAGCGCCATGGAGGTCCTCGATGATGGTGTAAACCCTGCAGGAGGAAGCAGTTTGCAGGAGGTTCCCTCCTGGGACCCCCTCATCCCAATTCCTCCCGGGAAAGAAACTCCAAAGAAGTGTGGAAATAAAGGAAGAGCAGCCAGTGAGGTCAAGCGGATGGGGGTACTTATTCCCAGCTGGCTGCGGCAGGGCGCAGCCCTGTCACCTGACTGGTGGAGACTCGAAGGCGGGTGGAGGAGAGGGACAGCTCCACAGGGGGAGAGGGAGTCTCAGTGCGCCCTGATGGGGCGTCTTCCTGGGGAAGCCGTGGGTGGGCTCTCTAGAAGTGGGGTGCCCTCTGAGGTTGATTAGGGAAACATGGCTTTCTTGCGTTGGTCCTGAGTTGGGAGTGGGAAGGAGATTCAGGGAAGAGGGCCATTATTTGCCATGTCCTGGCCATGTCTCCAGTCTCTCAGACAGATCCTCGAGTGATCCGAACCCTGAAGAAACCCACAGCGAGAGTGCTGGAGAGGAGCGTGAGATGCAGAGACGGGGAGCGACCTCTCCACTCACCCCCACTCCGGGGTGTAGCCCGATGACGTCAGGAGGTCATTCTGGAAGGCGCAGTGGATGGGGCTCAGGATCTTCAGGTGGTGGATGATGCCCTCCGGGGACAGGTCGTTCCTCAGCGTGGTCCTCACCACGGTATTCGTCATGTTCTAAACACAAACCGAACAGGGCGTGAGCGAGCTCCTGGGCCCCAGCAGGACCCAGCAGGACCCTGCAGGACCCCAGCAGGACCCAGCAGGACCTCAGCAGGACCCCAGCAGGACCCAGCAGGACCCCAGCAGGACCCCAGCATGGGTGCTGGGGAGGGGTCTTTTTGAAGGCTTTCCCCCCAAAATATAAAAACCCTAATGATTTTTTTTCTAACGTAAACTGTCAAAGACAGGATTTTTAGAATTCATTCTCCTTAGTAGAGACTAGTGCTGCATCAGCTTCTGGGAACAAACGTGTACAGTTCGTAACTGATCTGTCCCACGTGGAAGGCTTTAATCACTTTTGAATTTAGGCCTATCTTCTGTGTTGGCTTCTTTAAAAATAATGGCCTGTGTTTGTAGCTCCATATTTTGGAGGAATTGTCTGCATGGTGTTTACAGGCCCTGCGGATTCTCAGCCAAGGAGCAGACTCCCTTTCCGCTCATTAGTTTTATGACAGTCGTGAGGCCAAGGCTTTGATGGGCCCTTGATGGGCCCTAGAGGACACACCAGGTCCAGACCGTGTCTCAATGGTGGCATTTTGTACCTTATAGCATTTTGCAAAGTGTCTCAGAAAAATGGAAAAGCCTTCTCTCTTCCTAAGAATTTAACATGTGTTATGAAGATGACTCTGTTGTCGAGTGAAACTTTGGGGGCATGGGCGAATTTGTATCTTTGTAGTCACATCTGCGTGACCTGTTTATAGCAATCAAACATGGAGGTGTGACCTTTTCTTAACCTGGAGGTCAATAAAATTTAAACTTAACAAAGAAAAAGGGGAGGTGGAGCCTGCTACCTGTGGGTAATCCACTGTGCTCGTACAAGTAAGTCTTCAAGGCAAAATTCGTTTTTGACAAATGTCAAAGAACATCAAGAAGTTGTGTGGGTTGCAGGGCTGGTGTGACTCATAAGAGATGAATTTCCCTGACCAGGCCCTGAACCCAACTGGATATAATTGCTAAACCAGGTGTTTGTCTAGCTCAGAAAAACAAAGGGAGCAAGCCAGTGTCTGCAGCCTCGACTCTGGCCCCCCTTGCCCACCATGGTGGCAGACTCACCCTTGGGAACAGACTGCGGGAGCGTCACAGGAAGGAGCTGGACAGCTCTGCCCAGGCCCAGCCTCCACCAACACATGCCCACATGCCCACACACACACACACACTTACACACACACACACTCACATTCTCACACACATGCACACATGGACACTCAAGCACACACAGGCTCTGGCTTTTCTGCCCCTTTCCCTCTCCCCCTGGCTCTGCCTGTGTATCAGCATCACTGAGAGGATGTTTTGAACCCTGACTCTCAGACCTGCCCCAGGCCCTTTGCACCAGAATCCCTGCAGGGTGGGGCTCTCAGGTCCCTCCTCATTTTAGGGTGTAGCCCAATCTCCAGTGAGAACTCGGCTCTATCCTGACTCCTTTGCTGAGTCCCTCACTTAGAGTCAGAGACCTTGGGGTGCAAAGTCTTCCCTGGTCCCCAGGTCAGGTGCAGACCGTCCCATACCGAGGCCCAGACAGCTTGGACACCCTCTGCACCCAGGACTCACGCTTTGCACAAGGGTGCCGCACTCGCTCCATCCGGCCACCAGGAACACGTGTGTGCCGTTGCTGTCACTCACGTTGCAGGCCGGGTGTCCCAAGTACAGGGAGGACTCGGGGATGGACTCCTGCTGCAGGAAGCGTCTCTCGATGGCGATGGCCACCTTCTCGATCTCGCAGAGCACCCTGACTGCTCCGGTCAGGTTCAGCCTCCGGGGTGGGCTCTGGGGGGCAGGGCTGTCCCCCTGCAGGGACGCAGCCTTAGTTTCTGCTGGGGTGGGGGGCTGCCCCAGGTCGGGGGCCATAGAAGACCCGGGGGCCTGGATTGTGTTGCCAGAAGAGTTACCTGCAAGGCAGGAGGAGACAAAGGTAAGTGTGGGCCTGTGTTTGGGGACTGCTATGTGAGCCTGAACAGTGAGACAGGCACAGGGACAGGTGTGAGGAGCACACACTCGGGAATTGCATGTTCCACCCACGGCCACACGCACACATGTGCTGCATGCTTCTGCCAGCCCAGGCAGCTGGGCTTCACTCCACTCCCTATGGGCCCCGGTAGCCAGGGAACCGAGGGACCCTCTCTCCTCCCAGCCTCTCCCAGGCCGATGCTGGGCATGTGCCAAGCCTCTGGACTTGGGACACAATGTCTACCTTCGGGAGTCCCCGAGTCATGTCTCTAAGATGAATTAATGGTATTTACTCTCGGGATCCTAGAGTCCCTCGCTCCTGCTCCCCCCCAAGCAACTCGGTTTCACCCTCTGAAGAACTGAAGAGGCCCCTGAAAGGCATCCACCATTCTCCCAGGGCTCCCTCCCTGGTCTGCATGAAGCAGACCCAGGACGATTCCTGGCCAGCCCCTGGGCCCTCCTCTACAGCCTGGCTCCGCTGCCTGCCGCCCCGGCGCCCGCCTGTTCTTGTCTCAAGGTGGGGGGCTCACCCATCACTGCCGCCTCACCCAGCTCCCCCTGCCTCCAGGACGCAGTCCAAATCACTGCTCCTGGCGTTTGCAGCCTTCTCAACTGGCCTCACCCACCTCTTAGCAGCCTGCCTCCAACTCTCTCACCCACCTCCCAGGGGCACCCACTCTGAAGCCAGGCCGGCTGCATGCCTGTATCACGCCCGCCTTCCACAGCTCTGTTCTCACAGTCGCCCCCACCCACCGTGGCCTTTCCCACCTCAGCCCCTTCTGCCCAGAGCTGTCTTATTCATTCTTTAAAACCAGCTCTAGATACCTCTTCCAGGAAGCCCTCCCTGACCACACACATGGGGCTGAAACAACTTAGTCTCCTCCGGCCTCCAGCTGCTACCCCAAGCAGAACACATCCCTTATTCCCTGGACACTGTGTTTACTCGTCTGAGCGTCTATCTCCCTCCATTGACCAGAGACCCCTGGATGGCCGCAGCATCTCTGAGTCAATCCTGAACCACTATGGCCCCCTGGGCAGGAAAAGTGCCCGGTGGAAGGAGGGGCTGAGTAGAAACATTTCCCATGGTTGCATGTTTTGCAAGATCGTCTTTTGGCATTTGAGAGAACACGCCGCGGTTCTGTGTGTTTTCTCATCTCAGTCATGAGGGGAAGCATTTGGGGATATGAGGCACCACCGTCCAGAAGGCTGGACACAAATGGGAGGACATGAAGGGACAGCATGCACACACATGTACGTCTACCCACCCACACAGGCACATGCATGTGCGCAAACACACACATACACACACACACGGAAACTTGCCCAGGATATAAAAATAGGCGGACCTCATCTGGAAAAGAAGCACTTTGCTTGTTTTAAAAGAATGAATTACCCGGCAGTATTCCAGAAAAGGGACTGTGAGCATTTTACCTTCACAGGGTCTTCCAGAATATTCTACAGGGAAGCCGGGGGCACCTCCCACACAGCTGCAAGCGAAAGACCCGAGGGTGTTGCGACAGGATGTGCCCGGTTCACAGTCGTCCTCTCTCCTCTCACACTCATCGTAATCTGTGCGACATTTAGAGAAAACGCAGGAGAACTTCTCAGTGGGCTGGAGGGTCGCGGAGAGAGGGGACCCGCGCCAGCTGCTCGCAGACAGCCTTGTGGAACGTGCATCTCGGATAAAGTTAAAAATTATCAAGTGACAACAAAGATAGCCAATCTGGAGGGTTCCGGAGGCAGGGATGGGGTGCGGTGGGTGTCAGGAGGCTGCAGGGCCTGCTCTGGAAGGAGGAAGGAATACTGTTCCCAGGGCTGGGAGGGGACACTGGGCAGAGCTGTGTCACATGGGAGCAGCCAGGAGATGCCCAGGTCCCCACCCAAGCCCTGGTCTCGGGCAGAGGGGCCAGGACTGCAAGGCAGCCCTGGGCAGCAGGCCCTCAGCCCGCCTGCCTTCCTCTCCCACAGTTTCTTCACCTGTTAACAGCCGCGCAGGTTTACTGGAGAAAATGGGCACAAACCAGAACCACTTAGCAGAGAACAGAAAGCCCGAAGCCCGCCCCTGAGATCACCTCCCCACACATGTGTTCGCATGGCTATGTATGTCATCCTGGTCCCTTACAATACAGATGACGACACAGCTAGGACTGCTGAGAGGAAGGAGAGGGAGAGAGAGAGGGACACCCACGTGAGAGCAGAACACCCACCGGCTGCCTCCTGCAGGCCCCCTCCTGGGATCGAGCCCGCAGCTGGCCCTGGGCCCTGATGGAACCAGCAACCCTTTGGTATAGGGAGGACTCCCAACCAACTGAGCCACACCGGCCAGGGCAGTATTATCATTTTTAAAAATCACTTTTAGACCAGGAAGGAGAACAACTCATTTAGTGGGAATGCCTTTGGTTATTTCATCTCTGTTAGTCATTTGCATTTCTCCTTTCAGATATTGTCCATTTGAGACTTTTCTGTATTTATCTATCGGGCTCTTCGTATTTTTATTATTAACTCATGTAATTTCTCTATATATTTAGGGCACAATTCTTCATCAAATTATTGAACTTATATTTTTGTTTGTTGCTTGCTTTATAATGCTGCCTTTATTTTGTCTGACATAAAAGATTTACATCTTTATGGAGTCAGATATTCCAGCCTTTTCTCCCGTGGGCCCGTTTTCCTTCCGCTCTTAAACTTGGAAAATGCATCCCATTCCAAAAAAATCCGGGAGATATTCACCTATGGGGTCTTTGATTTTTTTATACATGTAACTAGAAGCTTTTTATCACGTCTTCTCAAGTAGGATGTGTGCTGTGGACTCAATCGTGCTCCCTCCAAGTCCATCCATGGGACGGTGTTTGGAGTTGGGCCTCTAGCAGGGGATTAAGCTTAAATGAGGCCGTGAAGGTGGGGTCCTGATCTGATGGGATGGAGGTCCTTACACAAAGAGACACCGAGGAGCTCTCCTTCCGAGGACACACGTCAGGAAGCCAGCTGGCACCTTGGTCTTGGACTTCTAGCCCAGGGCTGCGAGATAAACGTCTGTCGTTTAAGCCGCCAGACTGTGGTGTTTTGTTGTGACAGCTCGAGCTGACTCAGGCAGTGGGAGAAAAGGGTCTGTCGCATCTCTCCCTGCTTTCCTTTCCAATTGCTTTCCCTAGGACCCCCTTGGCGAGTGTGCTCGGGAGGAGCCTGGCTGCAGAGACGGACGGGTCTGCCCTCGGCCCACGGGCTGGGCAGCAGAGGAAGGGCAGGGGCAGGGCGCAGCCTGCGACAAGGGAGTGGCCCCCTGGGAGTCTTTGTGGGTTCACCGGAGGCTGTTCTCAACCCTGAAACCTTAAATAAAAACAACAACATCATAGCAACAAGCGAGACGAGGGTCCTATCTGTTTCCCATTGTCATCTGACGCAGGGAAGCCCCGAAGAGGAAGCGCGGGGAGCGACATCCTTCGAGCTGGGCGGTAGCTGGCTCTCGGGCCTCTCATCCCAGACCCGGTGAGCCTCTGTCAGCCCCGACCTCCACCTACCCCCTACGAAGGCGTCCCCTCTGGCCACCTCCAGCAGGGACGCGTTCTGGAAGGCGGCAAGGAATGCAGCAGACACCTCCTGGACATCCAAGTCTGCGACGACCAGCAGGTTAAACTCCACCACGACACTGCCATTGGTGATGCGGGTCACCTCCACCTGGACCCCACCGGTATCCAGGTGCTGACGCATGGTGGGTGACAAGGACTCCCGCACCTGTGGAGAAACAGGGCTGGTGAGAAGAGCTGCCTGGGAGGAAATGGGGTACTTGTCCTAAGGTGGCTCCTCCTGGATTCCAGCAAGCAGCAGGGCGGGCCTTGGCAAACGGCCAAACCATAGGTCAGTTCTGGCCCAGTCCCTTGCCTGTAGGGTCCGAGATACTGAGACGAGTCCTGCTCGCCCCTAACCAGCTGGTCCATATGGGGCTGGGTGCGAAAGCCCTACCCTAGGGGCTTATTACTGGGTAGGAGGCTCAGAGTGGCACTTAGGATCCGCTCCCATCAGCTCAGAGCCATGGAGGCAGGGGCCTGAACGAGTGATCACCGATTTGTCTTTTCTAGAACAATCCTTTTGCCCCTGATATGACACATTTCCCCTCTATTCTTCCTCCCCACCTTTCCAAAAACTGCTTCCCTGTGAGCACCCCGTTGGGACAGGCTGTTCCTGCCTCTGAAAGCCTTGTTTTTCATTCTGTCACTTTGGACAGCACCTTACACCACACACGACGTCACTCCAGTCTAGCCCATGGTGGCCGAAATGTCCAGGAAGACACATGGCACAGTAATGAGCTTTAAGGAGCCCATACGATGGGAATGGTCTCTGGGAAGGTGCACATCCAGGCTCTCTCTGCCCTCACGGAGAAGCCTCGGCCTCTTCTGCACTTTAGGGGGCGCTCAAGCACAGGACTCACTTCCCAGCCTTGGGACAGTGGCCGGAGCAAGTCTATTGTCACCCCTCAGAGGCTGCGGAGGCCCAGAGAGACCAGGAGCTGCCCGCAGTCACATGGCTGCCATTATTACATTCCAGTGGCCAGCTCTTACCAACCCACCACCTATCCATCTAATTATCATCTATTTCTCCCTCCCTCTCACTGTGTGTTTTTGCTCTTCTGGGACTTCCTAAGAGGGGCCTGTCACAGTCTTGGATTAATGTCACCTTTAGTTGCTTTTCAAACCAAATCCCAGGCTCCTTGCTAAGTAGTTACAAAGAACAAGGTGCCGAATTAACCCACAATTTCCCGAAATTTGCCTTAAAGTCCTACATATGAAGTAAGTGGCACAATTATTTGCTACGCTGAAATTCTAGACATACAAACAAAAAATTGTCCCCAAACATCAGCAAAAGAGGAAATGGTTTAAAGAGGAAAGATTCATCAAGAAACTCGGGGCGGCATGGAGCTCCCCCGAGGAACCGCAGGAGCGACGGGGACAGGTTTCAGTGTTTGCTTGATTAACACCAGCGTGGCTCCCACTTAACCTAAAGACGGATCCGTGAATGAAGAAAACCACCGGCAGCCCTGGAGTCCACGCGCTGGGCCGGGAGCTGGGGGTCCCGAGATGAATAATGTGGAGTCCCAGATCCCGAAGAGCCTCCGTGGGACAGTCCCTGGAGGCAGGGACCGTTCTAACACTAAGTGCTGCTGACAGGGTTGAGCAGGATCAAAGGTGCGGCCACCTGCATTGCTAAGGCACCTTGGTGTCGTCTCGCTCCACTGCTAGACGGAGCCGCCAAACGCTGGCTATTCTGTGTCGTAAGCTCCCAGGACAGGGAAAAGCTAACGCACGTGAGATTCCCGCTGTGCAGATAAGGCCACTAGGTCATGGTGTTCTCTGTGCATCAAGGGCCATCTAACCTCCACCAAAAAGAATATCGAGATTGCTCCCCTGACTAAATGGCAACAACACACCATCCCAAGAACGCTCCTGGGGTGGCGGAGGAGAGCACAGGAGTAGGAAAAATAACCTCTTGGGGCAGGGGGGTGACGGCGCTACCCGCAGCAGCCGAAAGTCGGAAGCAACTCGGATGTCCATCGGTGAGTAAAATGGAATATTACGCAGCCAGTAAAAGGAACGAAGCAGCGACACAACACGGATGAACCTTGAAGACATTATGCTCGGTGAAGTAACCCAGACGCAAAAGATCACATATTGCATAATTCAGTTTCTATGAAATGTCCAGAACAGGCAAGTCCATAGAGACAGGGGGCACATTAGTGATTGCCAGGGACAGAGAAACGGGGGACTAGAAAGTGACTACTAATGGGTAGGGTTTGGGGGGGGTGGTGAAATGTTCTGGAATTAGAAGGTGGTGATGGTTGCACAATTTTGCAAATACAATCCAAACCACTGAATTGTGCACTTTAAAACTCTGAGTTTGTGGTATGTGAGATAGATCTCAGTTTCTTAAAAAGTGTTCTTTTCACGGTAGGGGAGGGGCTTTCTGCATCAAGGGATCCCGCCTTGATAAAGTGTCATCAGGACAGGAAATAGCGTGAGGCAAGGATGCCGCAGAGGAAAAGGTGTGTCTCCTGTCTACTGCTAAGTCTATTTAGTGGCAGGTCCAGGGACACCCAGGCACCACATCGGAGCCGAAGTCCCGGCTTCCTTCGGAAGAGAGGGTCTAAGCCCTGCTTGGCTGCAGCTGGGATTCTGCCCGCCTCCCCCCCTCCCAGCCCACAAGGCAGTAAGGGCTATTTCAGCAGCTCACCATCCTCAAGAAGAGCTTCAGAAACTCCTGGGACTCCTTGCTGCTGGCGTTGCGGAAGGACTCGGAATACCTGACGCTGGCTATCCTGACTTTCCCACTGAGCTTCTGGGAGGCTGCAGGACGAAGGATAAACGCTTGGGACAGGAATGTGGTAGGGAAGACGTGGTCACTGCTGTCTTCATAACAGTATTTTCACTTTGGCCAGAAAGAACATCAAGCCAAGGCTGATATAGACTCTACAAGGAGGGAACAGCTCCCGACACTCTCAGGCACAGATGGGTGGACGGGGGGACACTAGGACAAAGCCCGGCACAGAGGGAGAACCTTCTGAGGGCCACGGAGCCAGCTCAGCCCCTGCAGCTCTCTCCTCCCTGCCTGGTTATTACCCGTGCATAGCGTGCCCAGGGAATTTACCAGCAAGCGGGACAACTCTGAGAGTGAAAGGAGGCACTGTTGTTCATTGTGCCAGGGCCTCAGGTGCACACCAGCTGGCCCTGAGCCTGAGAGGGAGAGTGAGCAGAAGGAACGGCTGTCACTCAATAGACCTGCACCACCCACCTCTTCCCGCAAGGAGGACACAGCTAAGCAAGTGTCTACGACTTGCGGCAGAGTCTGGAGCTCTTTGCAACTCCACCTCTTGCCCACTGTCACCCAACACCTTTTTCCTGAGATGAAATGAGCCACCTTCTGCCTGGCTATCCCATGCCACCGAGTATAAAGTGAGCCAGACATTTCTACGCTGAGAAGCAAATGGAAATCTAGCAGCCCGAAAGTAGATGCAGCTCTTTCAAACCTTGCCTCACCGAAAATCTTTTCCATACACTTTCCCTCCCTTTAAGAACAAAGGGCCATGAGCGTTTCTGAACCCATTACCTGTCCTCACTTTCAGGTGTGCCTTGGCACTTTCTTTCCCACATGCTTTGGCCACTATCTCAACCAGGTGCAGGACACCGGGCTCCAGGCCCTGCAGCCACAGACTTGCGTTCTGGGTCTCCAGGTGCATGGCGGGGCTCCGCGTGGACATCAGGGTGAGCTGGAAAGTGGGGTGCAGGGCGAGATCTGCCACCCAGGCCACATGAAAGCCGGTGCTCGTCACGTTGGAGATCGTGACCCTTCTGATGGGGGCGGGAACTGGGAAGTGGATATAAACACTGAGATTAAAAACAAGAATTCCAAGGAAAGAAGACAGGAGAAGCCTCACCCAGTGCTAAAATCAAATGCACCGCCCGGGACATGAGCCATCCTCAGGGACACCAGCCCGGGAAAGTCCTGTGAGTCCCCTTGCTGCAGGCAGAACACATGGGTGCAGGGTCCCTGGGCAGCACCCCTGCCCCTTAGGTTTGGTGTCTGCCTCTGAGGTCCCTGGACTTCCCAAAATGAAGGCCTCTGGAGCAGGCTGTGGGCAGCTCCTCTGAAGGGGTTGTCCCCTCAACCTTTGGGTAGACTTTCCGGTGAGTCAGCACGGTGGTCATTGCCTGCTGGCTACAGAGCCGCTCTAACAGGGGGACCCCGGGGCATGCAACAGTACTGTTTATGTGGGTTTAACAATTTAGTCTTGGAAGCTGCAAAGCTCAGGGGAGGAAACACATTTAACAGCTTCTTCCACTTGGGTGCAGTCCAAAGCCGGGCCAGCTCAGAGGGCTCACAGAGATGCCAGTGTCCCGTCCCCCCCCGGGAGCCGGCACACCAGGCCATCTCTTGCACGGAGCTTTCACCTGTCTCCTGAGCTATGGCCCAGGGCCTTGGTGATGGCTAAACCCTTTACGTGTAATATATAACGTGGAGCTACTGGGGTCAGCATGGCTAGGGAGGTGCAGAAATGTTGGGGGGCCAACACTGCTGGGGGATGTGTCCCAGTCTCCTCCAGATGCCTGAATTCCTGCCCCAGCTGTTGGCAAACAGGAGGCTTCGGGCGGGGGAGGAAGGACTGGAGAGAACACGGAGACCAAGCGCTTGTCCTAACTAGACCAGAAGTTGGCTGCACAGGGACAGGGCTGCTCTGCACCCTACCTTGCTGAGCCTTAACATGAGAAATCCATTTCTGACTTGACAACCATCTGAGCCTTTGCCACTGGAACTCACGTGCTGACCACATGGTCCCACAGGTCCCTGGGACACACCCTCTCACTCACCACAGGCCAGGGTCTTCAGAGATGCTGGGGTGGAAGCCAAGGGCAGGTCTGGAGAGCTGGGGTGTCCAGAGTCTGTGTTCTGCGGCCACGTGGGGTCCAGAGGTGCTGGCAGAGTGCCCCACGTGGGGAGGCTGGCATGCCACAAGTGGCCCATGGGGTCCTCAGCAGCGGTGGGCTGGACTTGAGGCTCTGCAGTGGAGTTTCTCAGCGACCATACAGGGGGGTCCAACAGGCTGTCTGTGGCCCCAGGAAGGGAGCTGGGGGTTGGCCTGGGAGACCTGCTGGCCAACCACTGGTCCATCTCCAGACCCGGGGCCTTGCTGGGCACCTTGTCATCCACGCCTTGCCTTGTGCTATTCCTGTCCTGCCCATCCATGCCACTGTCCCCTCTCCTGGGTGGGGGCCCTGGGCTCTGGACCTGGCCTGCTGCAGAGGTGTCCCATGGGTGACTGGGGCTGGGTGACACGGCAGGGGTCTCCAGGCCAAGGGCTGTTGTTTCTGTGCTGACAGCTGGGGCTGTTACCCCTGTTGTCTGGGACAGCGCATCTTCTGTGGGGCTCACTACGTCACCTGTTGGGACACATCAACTCTCAGATGTCTGGCCCAAAAACATCTGAGTGTTTGGGTGTCTGGCCCAAAAACATCTGAGCAAAGCCCACCAGAGGCCACCCACAAGCAAGAGCCCCCCAGGTGGACCCCAAGTGGGGATAAAGTCTGTCTCAATTGATGACTATGAATGTTTAGTGTGGCTGTCACCTCAGTGACTCTCATGGAGAGCCAGGAGGAGCCTCTCCACTTAATAAATGAGGGTGCTGAGGCCCCAAGAGCAGGGTCCACCTGGGGGCTGCAGAACCAGGACCTGGAGGCCTCAGATGAATCTTGCAGGCCTCAGATGAATCCATCCAGCCTTTGGGAAATGGAAGTTTCCCCAGATATGTGCTCGGGAGGTTGGGGGCGTGGGGAGGGCTGGTGCTGGCACTGTCACCTGCCTGCTGGACACATGACTGAGAAGCCTGGGAGAAGAGAAGTTCTGTGGATGTGGAGAGGCGAAACCCCGTACACAGAGGGCAGGGAACAGAGCTCTTTCCCAGGGGACAATTCTCTGCCTCTGCTTCTAGCCACAGGCCTGAGCTGGGATGACAGAGGTGGCCAAGCACAGACCCAGCTAGTCCATCACAGCACTGTGCATCCGTATGGGCCTCTTCCTGCTGTTCACCTCAGGATTCCAGGTAGCTCCAACTGGTCAATCACAACCAGCCCCCCAGAACCTCAGGGCAGATGTTTTGGACCCACGTCAGGGCCTTCTCCACACCTGCCTGGGCTTCTATAGCCTCAGACTCCAGGCCACGTGGGGAGGGAGTCCCTCATGGGCTGCATTAGGACTTATGTGAATGCATTATGACTTTCATCCATAAAAAAATTAAAAATTATATTTTAAACTTGCATTAGTATAAAGATCAGTTTCATTATTGAGATTCACTGTTATTATATCAATTTATTTTCTTTGATTTTAAAATAATTAAAATGAAAACATTTCAGTGGGGTCCTAACAGTATGGTGGGCCCCCAGCTCTGTGCCCATAGTGGCTGATGGAGAAGTCCCCGGAGTGGGGGCACAGCCCGCGGTGGGGGCAGGGGTGGGGTACAGGACGCACCTGCACAGGCCCGGCCAGCGCGGGAGGGGTTGGCGTCCTTGGTCGTCAGGCACCGGCAGGTGTACGAGCCCTCGAGGTTCACGCACTGGGCGGCCGGGGAGCAGTCGTGCTCCAAGCTGTCTGCACACTCGTCCCAGTCTGCCAGGTGGGACAGAGGTGGGACAGGAGCCAGGGAGAAAAAGGCCAGGGGCTGCTCAGAAAATGATGGGAACAGAGCAGAGCTCTTCCTGACTGTCATTGCAGCGAACAGTCCGAAGGACGAGGCCAGGGGTGAGTGAAGTGCCCGGGGTGTCCAGCACCCTTGGGAGGATGCCCTGCACAGACCCTTCCCCGGAGGCCTGAACCTGACCGAGGCCACATGCTAAGCGCCCGCCTGCACCGACCCTCACTGCAGGCTGGCTACTTTGGGGGCAAAGATCAGGCGATTTGGTTGCTTTTGGAGATATTAGCACCCACAGCTGTGAATATATGTCTTCCTTGTTTATTCTTTGTTCCCAGACCCATATTTCTCTGATGTGTCAACATCCCCCACTTAGTGTTTTAAGAAAGAAATAGGAAATGACTGAGCCTGGGGTCCAGCTAAGTATAGCATGAGCTTCCTCGACATGGATAGTAATGGCCCTTGAGCGCCTCCTCTTGGAAATGACTCGGAAAGTCCCAAAGACCCCATGTCACCAGGAAGACCTGACCCCTCTGTCTTGGGCAAGGAAGTATGTTAGGTGAGCCCCCATCCCTGAAAACGCCCCAGCGGCCCCCAGCCTGGGTCACCCACCCACACCCAACCCAGCCCTGCCTTTGCCAATCAGCCAGCAGTTGGGCGTGCATTAGGCCAAACTGAGATTCATCAGAACCACCATTCCCTCTCCTTCTCCCGCCCTCTCCTCTCCCCTCTTCTGCACCCCTGGGACTGCTGCCCCTATTCCTGTACTTGATTTAAGAGAGAAGCTGATGGTCTCGTGCATTTTGACACATGACTAATCAGTAAAATGCTACAGGCAATAAGCATGATAAACCTAAAGGAATAAATACCTCAGACTGTTTTTCAGGTTGGGAGGGGCTGAGGTGGGGGGCAGTTTTCCCACACCCCTAGAATTCCATCCTTGGGCCCAGACCCAGCTCTTCAGGCCTCTACCTACCCCTAGGGGAACAGGTGACTCTGAACAGAGTCACCTCTGCTAGCAGGGCAAGCTGGGGTCCTGGGAGGAGCCTGGATTCCCTGATTGGGGGTGAGTTGTGAGGCCCTTCTGCACAGGCCTCCCTGGAGCTTGGGACAAAGTGCCCAGGCCATGCCCAGTGCTCCAGAGGACCGGGCTTGGCTGGGATTCAAGTCAGATAAGGGACGAGTTCAGTTCTGTGGAGAGAAAACTGCAGCTGAGTGCACAGAGGCCCGCTCTGTGGTTTTCAGTTTTGTTTCATGCGATCTTCGTAGAAGCAGCTCTCCAGAGACCAGCAGACTCACTCATCAGCTGATGTAACACTTACACACACACACACCACTCACACACACACACACACACACACACCCCACCCAGCCTGGCTCAGCCCCCAGATGTTCCTGGAACCCTGCCTGACCCCCAGCCTGCAGGCAGCACCAGGGTGCTGGGGGACTGGAGGCGGGGGCCAGAGCCCAGGCTGGCCCAGCAGCAGGGCCCTGAGGAGCTCGGGGTCCCAAGAGACCTGGGCTCAAACTGCAGAGCACCTGGTGGCTATTTTTAGAGCTTGTGACTCACCTGGCCTTTGCTCCCCGGCACACAGCTCTCCTGCAAGCCCAAGAGAGGTGAGGGAGGGAGGCGGGCACAGCTTGATTAGGCCTTGTACTCAAGCCCAAGGCCAGGCAATTCTCTGGTTCAGAGGGAAGAGGCAGGTCTGTGAGCAGTAGGAGTTGCCAGGTGGCCTCTGCACCTCCTGGACTGGCCAGAGGAGGACATGAGGACATGGGCAGGAGCCCCATGTAGGAAGCTGTGCTCTGCTCCTGCTGGCCCTGAGGCTGGGACCAGGCTGTGGCCCACCTCCCCCAAGAGGGAGGCAGCCTCGGCCAAGCTTCAACTCCTGGCGCAGGTGCCCCCCACCCAGGAATGTGTCTGGGTCCCGGAAGGGGCAGCTCCCCGAGAGCCCCACGCTGGGGCCCGGGGCCCTTCGGAAGTGGAGCGTGGCCCAGAGCCCTCCTCTCACCTGGGGCCGGCTGGGATTCACACGGAGGGGAAAGGCCGCACAGAGAACCTGGCTCTGACCGCACCGCGCCCAGAGCTGGACAAAGGGCAGCACATAAAGAAAGCAAGCCCAGGCCAGCCGACCGCATGGAGGGTGACAGTCCCAAGGCCAGGCTCCCTCTGCTCACGGCCCCCACTACTGCCTGCGGAGGGGACAGAAAGGGCTGCTCTGGCTGCGATGCTGAGCGTGAGGCTGACGGGAAGCTTTGGGAGCATGGCTAGGCCCGTCCTGAAGCCCACAGGCGACAGTAGATGCCCAACTGGCACTGTGGTGACCACAGGGGTGCCTGAAAACCCCACGAACCCCTCCCACAGGACAATGCTGTCGTTAGAGCCTCATCTGTCTGCTGTCTGCACAGAACGCTGACGCACAGGGGCCACGTTGCGGCCCAGCTGATCATCGCCACCCGAGAGCAAATAAGCAGCGTGGTCCCTCCTGGGAGCAGATCTTAAGGGACAGGGGCAGCAAGGCCAGGAAAAAGGGGGTGATGGGAGGCAGCAGGGAGGAGCCCTTTGAGGGGGGAGGACCAATGGGGGCCCTGGGGATGCTGGAGGACCTTCCTGGCCTGAGAACTCACCCGAGATGGGTACGTTGATCCTAGAAAAGAGTTACCCTGAAATGTGGCCATCATCCATGTGCCAGGCCCTGTGGTAACCCCACACCTGCACTGTCCCTTCAATTACTCAACCGTCTGAAAAGGTGGGATGTGTTACAATCTCCCCATTTCCCAGGTGAGCACACTGAGGCCCAGGGAGGTGAAGTCACTGTGCAGTACGTGTACGTGTCAGAGCTGGGATCACAACCTTCCCGTGTCCTGCCATAGCCATGAGCCACCTGCCACGTCATGCCTCCTCCTCTGGGCAAAGTGAGCAGGCCCAGCCAGCTGCCCCTGAGGGTGTGGCTCGTCGGACCAAGGCCTGCTCAGCAACTGGGCCTCCCAGCACGGGGCGCACCCTCCTGGAGGAAGACCAGGACACGTGGCCGCCCAGTAACCCCAGGGAAATGAGGTCAGGACAGCGTGACCTCCTCCCCGTTGGGCCGTGCTGACTCACGGGCAGCGAGTGCTCCCAAATGACCCACGAATGCTCTGCCAATGCCAATATGTCAGTTCTGTGTGAGCCGCAGAGGAAAGGAGCTCCTTTTGTGTCAGTTTTCTGCAGAATGGCCGTAAATGTACTTGTCCCCCTGTTCCTGGGCTGGGGGGCTGGGGGTTCTTGGGAGGGTAGGACGCCTTCCCCACGAGGCTCAGGCCTGTGCTGCCTCCCCCGTGGGAGCTGTGGCCCAGGGACTGTCCTGCGGGCTCGGGTGTCAGAAGCCAGTAACTGGGTCAGAAAATGCTGTACAGGCAGGACACCTCCCCCGCCAATAAATAGCCGGAGGCCTCCCGGCCCAGGGCCCAGGGCCCAGGGCAATTGCCTGCACAGGGGGCCTTCCCCAGCGGAACACTGCAGGGCGAGAGCCTTCTCCAGGCTCTTCACTTCTGAGGGGCCTCTGGACCTTTGTGGGGATGCTTCCAAACGATCTGCTAAGAACCCTAGGATGTTAGCACTGCAAGGTGCCTCTTCTCCCTCTGCATGAGTTTCCTGAGGCTGCAAACTACCACAAGCTTTTAACTGGCTTAAAACATCAAAATTCATCTCACAGTTCTAGAGGCCCAAGTCCAAACTCCAGGGGTCAGCAGGGCTGGGTTCCCTCTGAGGGCTCCAGGGAGAGAGGGTCCTCCCCTCTCCCTCCAGCTTCTGGGGCTCGGGGTTACTTGGTTTGCGACCATGCCACGCAATTTTAACTTGGTCTCCTCCCTGTATCCCTGTGTTCTCTTCTGTCTCGTCTAAGGACATTTGTCCCTGGGTTTAAGGCCCACCCTGGTCCAGGATGACCTCAGATCCTACCTTAATTGCATCTGCAAAGACCCTTCCTCCAGATGAGGTCCATTCTGAAGCTCTGTGTGGGCATATCTTTTGAAGGCCACCCTTCAACACGCTGTACCATTTGACAAAGATCTGGAATAACCCTAAGCCCTGGGACACAAGGACATTCTGGGGAGTGGTGCAGAGGGGCTGCTGGGTCACCTGCATGTGGCTCCTATTCGGTCTCAGGTGGGTCCTGGAGGCACCGGCCAAGGACCCACCCACAGCACACCCAGTGCCTGCAGGGTGCAGAGAGCCACTGCCACCTCCATCCCTAGGCGCTGAGTGACAGAGCAGTCCCCAGGCTAAGCAGGCAGGTGTGACACTCCCTTGGCTTTCCCTGCATTCTTGGGTGGGGGAGGTTGGGAGCCACCCAGCACAGGACAGAGCTCACAGGAGATGACAGAGCTCACTCTTGAACCCAGCTCCACTGGGCGTCAGGGAGACGCCCTTTCCACAGACAGAGAGAGCGCGAGAGAGATGAGGGGAGGCAGGGAAAGGCTGCGGTGCCCCCACTGCGCAAGGGAACCTCGTGAGTGTCTGAAAGACAAAACCTTCCTGCCCCCCAGCACTGTCCCTCTCTCTGTTTCTCTCTCTCACGCCCCCATCGCCTCTTCCCCCTTCTCTCTCTCTCTCTCTGTGTGTCTCTGTCTCTACCTGACTCAGTCTCTTACCTCCCTCTGTCCCCCTCATCTCTCTGTCTCTATCTCTGCTGTCTTACCTCCCCCATATCCCTCATCTCTCTCTCTCTCTCTCCTGCTCTGTCCCTTTTGACTCGTCCCTGATCTGTGACTTCCAGCCTCAAGGCAACACCGAGTGAAATTACACAACGTTTGGCTTAAACAGCCCCGAGTGTGAGCTGTTAGGAGTCGCACAGCGGCCAGGGGCCAGGGGGGCTTGGGCCCCGACACCCACAGTCAGCTCCCGTCCTCTCCCCGGGGGCCCTGCAGCGGTTCCACCTTGAGCTCTGGGCCCGATGCAGCCAAGAGACACCCTCCTTCCGAGGGGACAAGCGCCTGGGCTCCATGGCCACTGCTCCCTCTGGAACAGTGGGTGCGGGAGGCAGGTGGGCTCACTGTTTGGGGGCTGCGGCCCTAAGCCCCACTTTCCGTGGAGTAAAACAGAATCAAGATTCGAATTTCTTTTACCTCATCTACCTTTTGGAATAAAGTCCGTGTTGACCTAAATGCTGTAGCGTGGATGTTAGAGGACATCTTGGCGACAGGCTCGGGGTGTGGGGCCTACCTTGCACTAGCGTCCCCCTCTGGTCAATCTGGAACGCCGTGCTTGCCCACAGCCTCGGGAGCATGGGGGCCAGCGTGGAGATGCCCACTGGGAACTCGGGGTCCTGCACCGTCACCCTGAGCCTCACGACCACGCTGCCGGCCTGGAGAGACACGATCTGCAGCCTCAGCTTCCCCCTTTTGTGCAAGTCAGACACCGGGGGCGGGAAGGCGCTTCCGACCTGGCCAGGGAGAGGCAACAGCAGCCGTTAGAGCCGACTTTCCATCCGCACACGCAGGAATGCCACCGAATCCTCTAAGAAAGCTTAAAAATCAGTTTGACCTGCAGATTAATGTGGAGAGCCAACCCTCCTTTGGTCTCTTCACATTTCTACATTTTGCAGTAGAGGCACTAAATGCCCCTTTGTTCCTGGATATCTTTCCAAAATGTTTGTATGATCAACAGCCTGGGGGAGGGAGATCGTGGCCCCCTCCAGAGCAAAGGGCAAATTGGTTCATGTCTAATATAATAAAGGTAATGTCTCGTTATGGAGTAGGTTTAGGCAGGTTTGGTCGCAGACCCTTACAAAGGGTTCAGGTTCCCGAAGCCTGGGGATCTTCTGCTGCGATGCAGACCTACTGCGCGTGTGTCACCCACCTGGGCCCCTGAGCCATGCCTGTGGGACTTGGGGGCCAGAAGGGGAACTGGCGCCAATAGGATGCTCACGCTGCCTGCTGGGCCAGAATAAAGTCCTTTGTCTCTGACCCAAGCATCTCGTGTCTTCTGCTGGCATCCAGGCAACAGGAATAGGCTGACTTATTAGTTTGCAAGAAGGGTAAAATTTTAAAGACCTTTCATGGTTCTTGACAGCTTATCAAGTACTTTTTTCTCCAGTTCATCATCTGAGGATGGATAGTATTTGCCGCCGGCCTGCTTCTCCCAGGCTGCGTGCTGGTGTCCCCCTTTAGCCAGGGAGGAGTGGGTGCCTGATCACCCCAAGTGCTTCCTCGATGAAGCTGCTCCAAAGTGGGAAGACAGGTCCCCCAGATCCCCCGAATGGAAGTTCAACAGAAAACCCAGCTGTAGGATCAAGTGGTGTAGACCATTTGAATCAAAGGCATGTATTTCAAGGATGGTTTGGCCCCAAATCAAGATTAGGTCTCCCATAAATGGAGAGGGTGAAGCATTTGAGTGATGGCTTGTGTGGGCTCCTCGCTCGGACATCGAGGGGGGCTCACCGTGCCTGCCCTTGGCTTTACCTCGTGAAGCAGCTGCGAGGAAAAGTCCCGGTACTCAGGGCTGCTGCGGTCCAGCAGCGTCTCAGTCACCGTGCGGTTCAGGATCCTCACTGTGACGCCAAACACACGGGCCTCTGAGACAGACAATCATGATGTTAGCTGAACCCCAGCAATCCAATATCACATGGTTTTCTGTCAATGTTTTTCGCAGAGCTTATTCTTGGAGGGGAAATTTAAAAAAAAATAGAGCAAGGCCTGTACTTCCCGGTACCACCATGACCAGGTAAAGAGGAGCTGGAACCCTGGGGCAGGGAAAGTCAGCAGCCTGACCGAGTCACATGGCCAGGCCAGCTGCCCTCCAGATGCCAGAATTCCTAGTTCAGTTCCACACTGTGTTTGTCTGGGGAAAAGTTCTTCCGAGGCACCGATACAGTGGGCAGGGCGTTCCCTTGTCAAGTGCATCTCGTGGGAAATGAGGGACACTTCGTGAAGATTTCACAGGGTGCTCAGGTCCTGGTTTGGGGAAGTTATACACACTGAGTCACGTGGGGTTNGGGCAGGGCATTCCCTTGTCAAGTGCATCTCGTGGGAAATGAGGGACACTTCGTGAAGATTTCACAGGGTGCTCAGGTCCTGGTTTGGGGAAGTTATACACACTGAGTCACGTGGGGTTAAGACCAGTAAGGTCTTTCAGTGCCTACAGGATGCAGTGAGGGGAGCGAGGGAGCCCATTACGGCCACCACGACACTGCTCAGAGGTCATGGAGCGCCTTTGGCCCCATTAGGATGGTGGGGACAGTTCCAAGCCTGCCCCTGACTGTTTATAAAAAGAGCAACAGCTTGACTCTCTGGGGCCAACAAAACCGGATGGAAAGACCAGTTCGCAGGTAACACACAGCATTCAGGTGAGTGCCTTACCGGTTCTGACGGTCAGCATGGCAGTGACATTGGTCCCACACGCCGGGTAGCTGGTCTTCACCCGATACAGCACTCCAGCCTCCAGCCCAGTCATCTCCAGGGTCGTCCCCTGGGTCCTGGTGCTCCTGAGCAGCTCCTGCCCCCTGTAAACCTGCACATGGAAGGTGCGGTTCTGGGTGGAATTTAAACTCCAGGACACCTGAAAGCTGCTGCTGGTGACATTGAGGATCATGTAGTCTGTGATGGGAGGACCATCTATGAATGCACAGAAAAAGAAGATTCAGAGAACATCAGAGAGAGGCAATGAAAACAAAATCAGCAAGCGGGACTCCTCAAACCAAAACGCTCTGCACAGCAAAGGAGACATCACCGAGACATAAAGGCGACCTAGGGGATGGGAGAAGATATCTGTAAATCATGCATCTGATAAGGGTTAGTATCCAAAATATGTATGGAACTCATACACCTCAACAGCAAAAAACAAATAAGCCCATTGCAAAATGGGCAGAAAATCTGAATAGACATTTTCCCAAAGAAGATATACAGATGGCCAACAGGCACATGAAAAGATGCTTCGCATCACTAATCATCAGAGAAATGCAAATGAAAACCACAGCGAGATACCACCTCGAACCTGTCAGAATGTCTCTCATTGAAAAGATAAGAGATAATGCTGGCGAAGGTGTGGGGAAAAAAAGTAACCCTTGTGCACTGTTGGTACAGCCACTATGGAAAACAGTATAGAGGTTCCTCAAAGAATTAAAACTATAAAGCTGCCATATGATCCAGCAATCCCACTCCCAGGTGTTTATCCAAAGGAAATGAAATCACCACCTCAAAGTGATTTCTGCACCTCAGTGCTCACTGCAGCATTATTCACAGTAGCCAAGCCATGGAAACAACCTGAGTTGTTTTGCAGCTGTGGTCATTACGGTGTGTCATGGGCTGGATTGTATCCCCCAATATTCATAGGTTGAAGTCTTAACTCCCAGCACATCAGGATGTGACAGTATTTGGAGGTGGAGTCTTTAAAGAAGTAACTAAGTTAAAGTTAGGAAATTAGGGTGGGTCCTACTCCAATCTGACTGTGCCCTTTTAGGAAGGGGACCCAGATTCAGGAATCAGGCCGAGGCTTCTTGTTTTCATATGAAAATCCATGTTTTGGAGAGCAATACTCTAACATAACACTCTAGTATAGAATGCTCTATTATAACAACTAATATATATTTTAATACTCATATATAATGAAATCTCTGTTTTGGAAGAAAAATTCTGGTATACAACAGGCACCTGGGTAATGTGAATTATGTAAAAAGTAGGTTGGCCCTCAGTCTAGGCACAACAATTTTTATTTTATTTTATTAAAATATATCTTTATTAATTTCAGAGTGAGGAAGGGAGAGGGAGAGAGAGAGATAGAAACATCAATGATGAGAGAGTCATTGATCGGCTGCCTCCTGCATGCCCTCGACTGGGGACCGAGCCCGAAACCCGGGCATGTGCCCTGACCGGGAACTGAACCGTGACTGCCTGGATCATAGGTCGATGCTCAACCGCTGAGCCACGCCCAGCCGGGCGAGGCACAACAATTTTTACATCAGAATCTGAGTTCTATAAAAGCAAGCCAAGAACATATTTTTTAAAAATATTTTGCAAAACCATAGTAAAAAAAAAAAAAATTAAAAAGTACTTGAAGCTTCCCAAAGCCCTTCCTATAAGAGTTCATAAAACATGTTTTCTAGTATCATTAAAAAAATTCTATCTTTCCAGACAAATGTGTATGCTTCCTTTCAGTGAAAAAAATAAAAACCAGTATAACTCAACCCATTTCTCTTTTTGCCTTGGCTGCCAAGAGGCTCAGAATCAAGTTCAGTGCCTCATCTAGTCCTGTGACTCAGCCCTGCTGTTTCTTCCTCCAGCTGAGCACTGAGCCTTTTATAAATGGGGGTGCCCTGTGTATGCAAGCTTCCCTACCATGAGCCCCTGTGGGTCCCCCAAAAAGCAGGCAGAGATAAACTACAGTGAGCCCGGCCCTCCCCCCCGCCATACTCAGGTAGGGTGGGGACCTCCATGGAAATCCTCGCTGTTCCCCGGCCGCGCTCCCAGGATGGAGAGGCAGAGTGTATTGGAAGGCACGTCTGTCCTCCGGCTTCGGCCCTCCAGAACTGTGAGAGAACACGTTACTGCTGTTCTACCCTTTTAAAAAAAATAATAACTTTGATCTCTTTATTTTTCTTTCCCTTTTCCCCCTTTCTCCTGCTGTTCTGCACCACCAGGTGTGTGTTGCTTTGTTGCAGCAGCCGCGGGAAACGGATCCGCCTCCCGGTCTCCTTCAGTTTTCAAGGCAGCTGCCGGCTGGG